GTTAAAATCTCTTACTAGTCTCTCACTCGGACTGCTGCTGTTATGTGTTTTTGGTGACTTTCTGACAGTGCAAGCCTTTAGTTTGGGTTAGCGTTGTATACATGCCAGAAGTAACAGTGTTTTAATCCCTACCTCCCCCCTCCCCTCCTCTCCACAGGGGTCTGTAGCTCTGGTCTCCATCACTGCAGACACTCTTTACCACGACATGATTTATGGTCATCACAGGCCACCGTATCAGCGCTCTATCTGAGGAACAACAGGATAAGGAGCCGAGCTGATAACACATGATTTAAGACGGGGAAGTGGGGGGAGGGGGAGGAGGGGGAGGAGGGGGAGAGGGACAGGTCAGGGATGTTCTATTGATTTTAATGTAGGGGCATTTCCATAGGTTCATAAGTTTTATTTAGGAGACGTGTTTTTAAGGCTTTTCCAGGCATGTCGTGATCTGGCTTTGTTTTTAGCAGTTTAATAAAAAGCAAGAGTCACTTCTGTCACTTCTGTACTAAATAATCGTCATTATCCAGGAGCTATCCCGTTTCTGCAGATTTTCTTCAGCTTGAATGTTTAGCCCCGCCCCCAACTCGCTCACAGGCTTCTCATTTCCCCTGCGCTCTCATCCCACGAAGCCATCTAGTTGTATTTGTGATCTGATACATATGCTAAAATTAGCATGTGTGTAACTTCTTGTAAGCTGTACAACAATCACTGATGAAATGGGACAAAAGCAACGCACTGCTAACACAATATATAACTGAAAGATTACCGCTAGTTTCGCGTCCAAATGTCTGAGCGTAGATAGTCCGAGCGTAGATAGTCCGAGCGTAGATAGTCCGAGCGTAGATAGTCCGAGCGTAGATAGTCCGAGCGTAGATAGTCCGAGCGTAGATAGTCCGAGCGTAGATAGTCCGAGCGTAGATAGTCCGAGCAGAGATAGTCCGAGCAGAGATAGTCCGAGCGTAGATAGTCCGAGCAGAGATAGTCCGAGCGTAGATAGTCCGAGCGTAGATAGTCCGAGCGTAGATAGTCCGAGCGTAGATAGTCCGAGCACAAATAGTCCGAGCAGAGATAGTCCGAGCAGAGATAGTCCGAGCGTAGATAGTCCGAGCGTAGATAGTCCGAGGCGGTCCCGCAGGTCTCTCCCTCAGACCAGTCTCTCCAGAGGATACGGTGTAAGCTAGCTCTGTTCAGGGCTTGGTTTCTTCTTTGATCATGTTTTGGCTTTAGTTCCTCTTCTCTTCCTCACTGTTGTGTGGTTTGGGCTGTTTTGCTGTGTCTGCAGTTACAGCCAGAGGAGTTATAGCCACTTATGCTAACATGCTACTGTGTTTAGCAGCGCTGTAGAGGCTAGAGGACGCAGCCTCGTTCTGTGATTGGAGGAGAGCGTTCGTCACGCTAAGTTTCTACTCAGCACTTTTTACGCCTGAGTTCATACACAGCTGAATCAATGAGCTCAAGTTTTACATTCAATAATGGATTATAATACGACTTGTATGTAGTAAGAAGCATTTTTATGAACTCATTAGAAAATAAATCGGGTTTAGCTTGGCTGTGACGACTTGATGTTATGCCTGTTAATCAGAGCAGTCTGAGGGGGCTCAGGCTGCTGTTCTTTTGCCTCTGGATTGAGTCTGTCCCTGGGGCAGTGTCCCAGGCCAGTCCCACCGGGGAGAGACCCAGAGGAGACAACCAGAGGTACTAGAGAAATCCACTCCATCACAATTACTGTATAAAGTCCTGCTATCGGAGTCCTGCCCTGTGTATATTCATTCATTTTCATTCCCTTTATTTGTACATTTCTGGGTTGGGGGGTTTAGTAATTATCTCCTGCAGGATCAGTGAGCGGCCGCTGCTATGTGAGTAGCGTGGTAGCTCTGACATAACCTGGTCTTACCACACCATCGTACTCATTTAATTTCGCAGTAACGTCTGGATTTGCTCCATTGACTCCGTTAACAGGTGGGAGAGGTTGTGTCTCCGTGATGTATGAAACGTATGTAGGCTAATTCACCATTTAGCGTAGCTTTAGCATTTAGCCTAGCTTTAGCCATCTCCTTTGTCACTAATGGAGCAGGTGGGGAGTAGAGCCACAACATCTTTGCTTCAATGACAGTCACTAAACATTCCTCTTGCTCCGGCTTCAGTTTCTTGATATTTGGATTGAACCAGAACAGATTATTTTACTATCACATTCTCCGACAAACTACAACCAGTAAATTCAGCACAAACTCTTGACGTCACCGACACCGACCTACAACACCCGCCTCCCCCGCTCTCTGATTGGTCGGATTCAACCGAGGATCTGCAGCCACTAGGATCAGACCCAGACGTACATGTAGGAAATGATCATGGACCAGAGTTTACACATGGTAAGACCAGACGTACATGTAGGAAATGATCACGGACCAGAGTTTACACATGGTAAGACCAGATGTACAAGTAGGAAATGATCATGGACCAGAGTTTACACATGGTAAGACCAGACGTACATGTAGGAGATGATCATGGACCAGAGTTTACACATGGTAAGACCAGACGTACATGTAGGAAATGATCATGGACCAGAGTTTACACATGGTAAGACCAGACGTACATGTAGGAAATGATCATAGACCAGAGTTTACACATGGTAAGACCAGACGTACATGTAGGAAATGATCATGGACCAGAGTTTACACATGGTAAGACCCAGACGTACATGTAGGAAATGATCATGGACCAGAGTTTACACATGGTAAGACCAGACGTACATGTAGGAAATGATCATGGACCAGAGTTTACACATGGTAAGACCAGACGTACATGTAGGAAAAGATCATGGACCAGAGTTTACACATGGTAAGACCAGACGTACACGTAGGAAATGATCATTGACCAGAGTTTACACATGGTAAGACCAGGCTAGCTCTGACTCTATGGATAGTATTTTTGTATAGTCTTTCCAAACGTGCGTGCACAGACACACAAACACACGCACATGTACACACACACACATGCTGAGGGCACCACTCTCGCGTTAGTCTGTCTGAGTCGGAAAAACTCCAGAGAACCCACAATCCACTGCTCAGTGTTCTTTCTGTATATGTAGCCCGGAAAATTGAGGTCTACGCTGTGATTGGTCGGTTGGGCTGACTGTCAGATGCACCTTCATAACTTTATTTTCATCCCAGAAGATTTCCTTCTTCCTTCTCTGTCTCTCAGTCTCTAAAGTCTCTGTCTCTAAAGTCTCTATCTCTAAAGTCTCTATCTCTAAAGCCTCTATCTCTAAAGTCTCTTTCTCTAAAGTCTCTGTCTCTAAAGTCTCTATCTCTAAAGTCTCTATCTCTAAAGCCTCTATCTCTAAAGTCTCTTTCTCTAAAGTCTCTGTCTCTAAAGTCTCTATTTCTAAAGTCTCTATCTCTAAAGCCTCTATCTCTAAAGTCTCTATCTCTAAAGTCTCTGTCTCTAAAGTCTCTATTTCTAAAGTCCCTGTCTCTGAATGTTCAGTTTGAATCAGCCTCTGACTTCAGAGAAACCCTGGCATTTACTGCATTTTGAAAGTCTCTGAGACGTTGTGTGTATGTGGGTATGTGTGTGTGTCTCTCTCTCTTTGTATGCGGATTTCTGTGTGTGTATTTGTGTATGTGTCTATCTCTATGGGTGCAAGTGTTTATCTCTATGTGTGTCTGTGTGTATGCATGTCTCTGTATTTGTATATGTGCGTGTGTTTATGTGTGTCTCTCTGTGTGTGTGTGTGTGTCTGTCTGTGTATGTGTCTATCTCTATGTGTGTGTGTGTGTGTGTGTGTGTGTGTGTGTCTGTCTGTGTGTGTCTCTCTCTTTCTATGCATGTCTGTGTGTGTGTTTGTGCATGTGTCTGGCTCTGTATGTGTCTATCTCTGTGTGTGTGTGTGGCTCTGTATGTGTCTATCTGTGTGTGTGTGTGTGGCTCTGTATGTGTCTATCTCTGTGTGTGTGTGTGTGTGGCTCTGTATGTGTCTATCTGTGTGTGTGTGTGTGTGTGTGGCTCTGTATGTGTCTATCTGTGTGTGTGTGTGTGGCTCTGTATGTGTCTATCTCTGTGTGTGTGTGGCTCTGTATGTGTCTATCTGTGTGTGTGTGTGTGTGTGTGTGTGTGGCTCTGTATGTGTCTATCTGTGTGTGTGTGTGTGGCTCTGTATGTGTCTATCTGTGTGTGTGTGTGTGTGGCTCTGTATGTGTCTATCTGTGTGTGTGTGTGTGTGTGTGTGTGGCTCTGTATGTGTCTATCTCTGTGTGTGTGTGTGGCTCTGTATGTGTCTATCTGTGTGTGTGTGTGTGTGTGTGTGTGGCTCTGTATGTGTCTATCTCTGTGTGTGTGTGTGGCTCTGTATGTGTCTATCTGTGTGTGTGTGTGTGTGTGTGGCTCTGTATGTGTCTATCTCTGTGTGTGTGTGTGGCTCTGTATGTGTCTATCTCTGTGTGTGTGTGTGTGTGTGGCTCTGTATGTGTCTATCTCTGTGTGTGTGTATGTGTGTGTGTGTGTGTGGCTCTGTATGTGTCTATCTCTCTGTGTGTGTGTGTGTGTGTGTGTGTGTGTGTGTGTATGTGTGTGTGTGTGTGTGTGGCTCTGTCAGTGTCTATCTCTGTGTGTGTGTGTGTGTGTGTGTGTGTGTGTGTGGCTCTGTATGTGTCTATCTGTGTGTGTGTGTGTGTGTGTGTGTGTGGCTCTGTATGTGTCTATCTGTGTGTGTGTGTGTGTGTGTGTGTGTGTGTGTGTGTGTGTGTGTGTGTGTGTGTGTGTGTGCTTGCCCCTCAGTCATCTGGAGCAGTGCTAATCCTCCTCCTGCTCCCTGTGCCCTTGTGTTTTTGTCATTTTTAATAACACGCGTTTCTATTCAACAATTAATCCAATTAGCAGGATTGAGATAATTAAGAAAAGCGGCTGCGAGGAGAGGACTCTGGAGAGCGGGACAATGGTATCAAAGTGAGCGCCGTGTTTGTCTGCGCAGAGCACGCCGAAGACCCGCGACTCACTCTGAATACATGCAGACTCCCCTGCTCCCCGACCGAGCCCCAAGGTGACCCCAACTTTATACTTACACAAGCTACAGCCTCAGTCCTGGGTCTACAGCCTCAGTCCTGGATCTACAGCCTCAGTCCTGGATCTACAGCCTCAGTCCTGGGTCTACAGCCTCAGTCCTGGATCTACAGCCTCAGTCCTGGATCTACAGCCTCAGTCCTGGGTCTACAGCCTCAGTTCTGGATCTACAGCCTCAGTCCTGGATCTACAGCCTCAGTCCTGGATCTACAGCCTCAGTCCTGGGTCTACACATGTCACAGACCTATTGTCTGCTGGGATGCTCAAGTGGAGTGCAGGTCTCACCCCTCCTAACTCATTAGCATGTCACTGACCTTGTCCCAAGTTAGGGCGTTGTTTTTAGGATGTCGTCATAGATGCGAGGCAAAACAAATCTTAACCCTCCTCCTCTGTTAAGAGAAGGTTTTTGTTTCCTCACAAAAATGGCTTCTTTCACCCCTCTCTCAAACCAATTCTTCTCCCGAGCCAGAATTTTAACCTCTGTGTCATCCACCGTGTGGTTGGAGGCCTTGAGGTGGAGATGAACAGCCGACTGTGGCCCACTAGAGTTTTCTCTACGATGTTGGTAAAGTCGTTTCTGTAGAGTTTGTTTGGTTTCTCCAATATAGTGGTCAGTGCACTCCTCTTCACTACATTTAATTGAATACACCACATTGCTCTGTTTGTGTCTGGGTGTTTTGTCTTCGGGATGCACTAATTTCTGTCTTAACGTGTTGAAAGGTTTGAAATACACAGGGATTTTGTGTTGCCTAAAGAGGGGGGAAGTTGTTTGAACGTGTGTCATCGTTTTATCTTTGGGAAGTCAGGAATTCTAAAGTCACACTCCCCAGAACCCCGGGGAATTGTATTATTATAGACTCCGGACACAGTCAAATACTCCAAAGAGAGAGAGTGCAACATGTTTCAAAACTCTGATTTCCTGTATGAGAGCTTTGAAATGAGCGTGTAGTCATTAGCATTGCCACACTAGTCCCTGCTGCCCCCTCTGTACACAGCACTAGTCCCTGCTGCCCCCTCTGCAGTACAGCACTAGTCCCTGCTGCCCCCTCTGTACACAGCACTAGTCCCTGCTGCCCCCTCTGCTGTACAGCACTAGTCCCTGCTGCCCCCTCTGCTGTACAGCACTAGTCCCTGCTGCCCCCTCTGTACACAGCACTAGTCCCTGCTGCCCCCTCTGTACACAGCACTAGTCCCTGCTGCCCCCTCTGTACACAGCACTAGTCCCTGCTGCCCCCTCTGTACACAGCACTAGTCCCTGCTGCCCCCTCTGTACACAGCACTAGTCCCTGCTGCCCCCTCTGTACACAGCACTAGTCCCTGCTGCCCCCTCTGTACACAGCACTAGTCCCTGCTGCCCCCTCTGTACACAGCACTAGTCCCTGCTGCCCCCTCTGCTGTACAGCACTAGTCCCTGCTGCCCCCTCTGTACACAGCACTAGTCCCTGCTGCCCCCTCTGCTGTACAGCACTAGTCCCTGCTGCCCCCTCTGTACACAGCACTAGTCCCTGCTGCCCCCTCTGTACACAGCACTAGTCCCTGCTGCCCCCTCTGTACACAGCACTAGTCCCTGCTGCCCCCTCTGCTGTACACAGCACTAGTCCCTGCTGCCCCCTCTGTACACAGCACTAGTCCCTGCTGCCCCCTCTGCTGTACACAGCACTAGTCCCTGCTGCCCCCTCTGTACACAGCACTAGTCCCTGCTGCCCCCTCTGTACACAGCACTAGTCCCTGCTGCCCCCTCTGTACACAGCACTAGTCCCTGCTGCCCCCTCTGCTGTACAGCACTAGTCCCTGCTGCCCCCTCTGCTGTACACAGCACTAGTCCCTGCTGCCCCCTCTGCTGTACACAGCACTAGTCCCTGCTGCCCCCTCTGTACACAGCACTAGTCCCTGCTGCCCCCTCTGTACACAGCACTAGTCCCTGCTGCCCCCTCTGCTGTACAGCACTAGTCCCTGCTGCCCCCTCTGCTGTACACAGCACTAGTCCCTGCTGCCCCCTCTGCTGTACAGCACTAGTCCCTGCTGCCCCCTCTGCTGTACACAGCACTAGTCCCTGCTGCCCCCTCTGCTGTACACAGCACTAGTCCCTGCTGCCCCCTCTGCTGTACACAGCACTAGTCCCTGCTGCCCCCTCTGCTGTACACAGACAGATCTGAGGCTAATGCAGCAGAAGTCAGTAGTTAAGTGTCTGCAGAGTGTGAGTCATAAGAACAGTGACAAAGGCAGCCTTCACGCTCCAGCGGCCCTCTGTCCGGACTCACAGCCCTCCTCTTTAACAGCCTGCATGTTTTATGGTGACTGATGGACCAGGCCTTAGTCCTCCAGTGAGCCGCCCAGGACATGTTAGGATAATGGGGGAGAGGAGGCTCCGTGTTGAGCTTCAGGCTCTCAGTGCTCACACAGAGCACACACAGAGCGCACACAGAGCTCCAATTTAAGCCAATTAAACTGGACACATGTAAACGAGGCGCTGAGGTATGAAAGTCCTGTTCACTGGATCGAACTGTACTGCTGTGATCTGTAACCACGGAAACCAGATACTACTGAGACCAAACCACCAACCCATGTGCTGTCCTCGGGTCAAAATGACCCCTTTTATGATTTTCTCTAACTTGACCAGTCCTGGTTTCCCTTTTCCACCGTAATACATGTGTCTTCCACTATCACTGTGGGTCATTTTGACCCAAGGACAGAATTTAAGAGCACAGGGAAAACCCATGCTTTTATTAGACATTCAAATTCAATGTATTTACTGTATGTATCGCCCTAAATCACAACAGCAGTCATCTCGTAGGACTTTTCAAAGTTGTTCACCAACAACAGATCAGAGAATCAGACAGTCCAGACACATAGGAGCCATTGGTAAACTTGCAGAAATGTCTAAGGGAGTATTCAGACCAGAAAAGTCCTTTGCTCTGCTTGCTTGGTCTGAACCAAAAGCGGACCAAACATGTTTCTTTTGGTCCGGTTCGTATTCAGCTGGGCTATTCAACTGGGCTTGGCCACGGTAGGGAGCGGCGGGCCAAGGTCCACTTGAAAAGCCCAGATGCGGGGTATCACATGGGTTTTCACAAATGAACTAGGGCAAGTGGCCCGGATCGTCCCCACAGGGGTGTGAAGACGGCCCGCGGTCACAAGGGTGTTTTCTCTCATTCTTTCTCTGTTCACTTTTTACCCTGTTTGCACATTTCCTGTTGTTTGCAGACTTCCTGTCTTTCTGCACACTGCGTCATCTATTCACACCAAATGTGACATAAATGACATTTCCCCACTGAGAGATCAAAAAGGTTTATTCACGTGGTTTTGACAGTTGGTCAAGGCTGACAGTGGCTCCTGTGTAGGTCCTGTGTAGACCCTGTGTAGGTCCTGTGTAGACCCTGTGTAGGTCCTGTGTGGGTCCTGTGTAGGTCCTGTGTAGACCCTGTGTAGGTCCTGTGTAGACCCTGTGTAGGTCCTGTGTGGGTCCTGTGTAGGTCCTGTGTAGACCCTGTGTAGGTCCTGTGTAGACCCTGTGTAGGTCCTGTGTGGGTCCTGTGTAGGTCCTGTGTAGACCCTGTGTAGGTCCTGTGTAGATCCTGTGTAGACCCTGTGTAGATCCTGTGTAGACCCTGTGTAGACCCTGTATAGATCCTGTGTAGGTCCTGTGTGGGTCCTGTATAGATCCTGTGTAGACCCTGTATAGACCCTGTATAGTTCCTGTATAGACCCTGTATAGACCCTGTGTAGGTCCTGTGTGGGTCCTGTATAGATCCTGTGTAGACCCTGTATAGTTCCTGTATAGACCCTGTATAGACCCTGTGTAGGTCCTGTGTGGGTCCTGTATAGATCCTTTGTAAACCCTGTATAGACCCTGTATAGACCCTGTATAGACCCTGTGTAGGTCATGTGTGGGTCCTGTATAGATCCTGTGTAGACCCTGTATAGACCCTGTGTAGACCCTGTATAGTTCCTGTATAGACCCTGTATAGACCCTGTGTAGGTCATGTGTGGGTCCTGTATAGATCCTGTGTAGACCCTGTATAGTTCCTGTATAGACCCTGTATAGACCCTGTGTAGGTCATGTGTGGGTCCTGTATAGATCCTGTGTAGACCCTGTATAGTTCCTGTATAGACCCTGTATAGACCCTGTGTAGGTCATGTGTGGGTCCTGTATAGATCCTGTGTAGACCCTGTGTAGACCCTGTATAGACCCTGTATAGACCCTGTGTAGTTCATGTGTGGAGCTGAGAGTGTGGGGGCCGTGGACTCGTCTGCTCCGTGTTACATTTCACAGGTTTGCGGCGACTGCAGAACAGGACGGACTCGGCACATGCTAATGAAGGACTCCGGAGCCGGTCTACTGCGAGGCTGTGAGAGAACAGCTCTTTAGCAACAACAGCAGTGGTCTCAGACAAAGTTGAAAATTCCTCCACAACAGATCAGAGAATCAAACAGTTCTGGATCATCACTGTCCTTAGATCTACCTGCATCAGAGAGAAACCACCACCAAAAGGTGAGAAACCTCCCAGAGAGCCATATTGAGGCTGTAGATCCAGGACTGAGGCTGTAGATCCAGGTCTGAGGCAGTAGACCCAGGACTGAGGCTGTAGACCCAGGACTGAGGCTGTAGATCCAGGACTAAGGCTGCAGATCCAGGACTGAGGCTGTAGATCCAGGTCTGAGGCAGTAGACCCAGGACTGCAGATCCAGGACTGAGGCTGTAGATCCAGGTCTGAGGCTGTAGATCCAGGACTGAGGCTGTAGACCCAGGACTGAGGCTGTAGATCCAGGTCTGAGGCTGTAGATTCAGGACTGAGGCTGTAGACCCAGGACTGAGGCTGTAGACCCAGGTCTGAGACTGTAGGTCCAGGTCCTGGACACAGCAGGTGGGGGACAGGACAAACTAACATCTATCTGGACCATAACTGTCGCCCCCTGCAGGACACTCTGTCTGCCCTGGAGAGCAGCTTCAGTGACAGACTACTCCACCCTCGATGCTGT